ATATATATATATATATATATATATACAACGGTCTACGAATAGACATAAAGTCATCAGAAACCATGGGGTACAGAAATAGTAAAAGAAAGCACAACACAAAACATCAAATTCCATGGTTTCGCCAGAGGGCGAGATACTACCCGGTTGCCCAAGCCGAAGTAGGGTGTTGACTTAGGGGGACACCACCCCGAGTCTTTGGCTGAATAGCCTGCTCGCAAGACAGCGGAGCGAATTCAGGGAATCGCGCCCACTGGGCGCCGGTGACTGATTGTTCAGTTCATACGCCTTTCCTTTGTTCCTTTGTCAAACAGGGGCCCAATGCTCCCCAGTTACAGCATAAATTTGCTGGAATACAATGCTTCACCAGGATGAAGCAAGGGGCAGTGACTTTATTTAGTGGCGAGTCACGTCCGCCACGTCACAGTGTTGTTAAACGGACATATGTGGCTTTTTATAGGGAGAAGGCTTTCCAGGCGGAAACCCACCACGTCCTGGAACACTGCCGCCGAACCATTTGCTGGAACGGGAAAATCCCGAACCACCCAGCTGGCACCACGAGAAGGTTGTTTGGCAAGCCAGCCAATTACAGTACTGCTTGTGTTCATTTGTGCCCAGCCCCCATAGCAACAACCGTACGCGGGCCGCATCATCAAGCGTGGTGGGGTCAACCAGAAAGATGTCTTCATACCGCCTGTACCAAGTTGCGATGTGATGCCGTTCTCCGCGTGATTGGAAACCTCGCATTCCGTTCGCCAACGCCCCAGCTGATGTGTACTCGGTTTTCACTGTGGTGGGTGTTCGATTTCGGGATGATAGTTTCTCAGTGAGTGCTTGAAATAAGAATGTCTGTCTTTGTTCTTGTTGTAGTATAGCCCGCTGTTGTTGTCGGATGTAATCGCGCCGCTGTTGTAATAATTGGGCTAGCTGCGAATGATCAGCCATCTCCATCACCAATGTTAGAATCGTGGTTATTGGGGCCTAGAGCCGTCAGAACAAAGCCTTTCACCGCACCGGACAGTGTATTGACCAGCTGTCAAGTCACATGAAACAGGCAAGACAACCTGCAATAGTCAAGATGAGAGTGTGTCAGATTGGCCTCTCGCATAGTCGGCGTCCCCATTGCATATGAACCGCAGTAGACCAATGGGTGAAAGCGAAGCTCACGGTCAGGTCTGTGGGACGCCGTAATACTTTTATGGCACCGGACCGCCTGGCATAACACTATGCTTCCCATTCCACCCGCTGGTTGCCTTTGTGCAACTGGAATTCTCTCATTCGGTAAGTGTGCTTCACAGATTGGCGGTTATGAGGCGCCGCGAATCCCTTGACTTATTTCCACAGAGGAAGGACCTAACATTTACTATATCGCCGAAAAGCATTTAGTGAAACTGTGGATAGTTTACTATGTGCACGACTCCCGCTTTCATCAAATCCACTACCATTTTCCTGCGTCACATTCATTACAAGAGATCTACCAGCGGTGGTTGTAATAGTGTGAAGCTTTTTTGTAGGTTATACGCAATCCACTACATTCTCGCTACGACGCAGCTTACAGCTTCGTCCAACACACTCGAGCCGAGCCAAGTTGAATCGCCTG